AAAACCCTAACTGTATATACGTGCCAACGTCCTGAAAGCGGGCGTCTGCACAACCCCACGATCTGTGGGTTGTCAGGGTTGCAACCCCCTGATGAGTCGGTGCAAGTCCGACGAAACGGTCTGGCGTAGTCATCCCCCCCTCTCTTTTTTCTCTCTCTCGTGCGCCTATACCTAGGCGCCATAAGCATCGGGTTCAGACTCTTCCGCGCCCTGCTGCCCGTTTAAAAAAAAACGAACAGGCGCTAGGCTAAATTCTAAAAAAAAATCTGAAAAAAAAACAATTCTAGAAATACAAGAAGAAGAAAAACAGAAAAAAAAGAAAACTAACTTACCTGAAAATCAGTTTCCCGTTAGGGCGCCTTCAACCATTCAAGCTTACAGTCCCCATTACTTTTAAACGCGCCACATAGCACCTACCGTTTTTTTTTTGTTTTTTTTTTATAAATATTACCGTTGGCACTAGCCAACGGTCACGACGGATGACCTGTGCCAGCTTTGCTGGCTTTTCTCCTGCCCCTCTCTGATATGCAGACCCAAGTTCAATTCCCCTTGGGGAATCAAAAAGTTCGGGCCATTTCTCGATTTAGGAGTGTCATCCTTGTGCAGGGGTCATGCTTATCTCTTCCTCGCGCAACCGATCTAGGCCGTGCAATCTTTGCGATCGACGGCCTGAGTCGATTGCGCAAGCCACATAACAATGGCCAGCTCCAAAAAGGAGCTAGCCCAGTGGCTTTGCACGTCGAATTCGATCGCGGTACCCGCTGGGTGAGAGTGAGATGGCAGTACCTACTGGTTAGCTCCTATCACAGGAGCTAACCCCCCAACTCTCCTATAAGAAGAGTTGCCTTTCCTGTAGGTCCACTTGCCATAGCTAGGCAGGCTCGGCCTGCCCCACATCTAGCCGCGTCGCCTCTCAACTCGGCAGACGGCCCATCTTTGCAGCTCGACTCGGTGGCATTCTCACGTCCACACGTTTCTGTGGTTTCGACAAAAGCAAGCACTTCCAGTTAATGTTGCTACTCTCGCAGTCTCTCGGACGTCATAGGCGTCCGAACTAAAGCTCAAAATTTTTTAGTCTCTCAGTCATAGGTCAGGTCTGAATAAACTTTTGGCAACGTCAGTTTCATGAGGTCCTTCAATCCAACGAAAAAGTCGGACAGCGTCGGACGTTTAAAATCCCCCGCAATACCCTGACAAGGGTATTCGCCCCGACAATGCTTTGAACAACTCAATGCACAACTTAAAGGCATCGCTGGCTTCACATCAGAGTTATGCACGCTTGCAATTGATGAGTTAAGCACTGTGAATCCCCCGCGGTCGCAGTCGCCTCGGGCACGACCACGACCGCGGTCTTCGGTGCCCCGCCGCGACCAAGGGGAGAGGGGATTGGGGAAGGGGGTTGCGGATTGGGGTTCGGGAACCCCGACCCCACCCTCTTGAACAAAAAGAAGTTAAAAAAATATATTTTGGGGGGGGGTGGTTTTTGGTGTGTGAAAAAATATATATAAAAAAATTGAAAAAAAATATATTGATTGATCGATACACTGATTGATTGATTGATTGGTTGATTGATTGATTGGTCTATTGATTGGTTGATTGATTGAATGATTGATTGGTTGATTGATTGGTTGATTGATTAATTGATTGATTGATTGATGGGGGAGGGGTCCTCGCTCCCCTTCCCCCAGCACACGCACACACACGCACACACACACACACACACACACACACACACACACACACATGCACACACACAAACATACAC